GCACAGACAGCCCTCGGGATTTCTTCCCTTGTTCAATATGTGGTCAGACATGAGGTGAGACCATGGAAAAAGCTCAGTAACCTTATTTTGAAATGCTTTAAAATTAAGTTTGCGTGATGTACAATAGATCAAGATTTTCCTACATATTTATTTTAGTTGTACAGCACATATGGGGACAATTTCTATGCACATACATGTGTATTGAATGTGATTGCCTTATTTTCAACTTAATTCTTAATACTTCTGATTTTCTATTTCTTTGCAGATGATCTTGGTACAAAAATGGATACCCAAGCCACTTTGTTTTGGATTTGTAATTCAAATCTAATAGAGCTTGGCTTCCAATTGTCTTGTGACATCAGTAGCTGCTAAAAATACAAACTATTTAAAATATATGTTCCACTTGGACAATTTCTTTTATCTTAAGTTTTCATGTTTCTGATTCTCCAGATTTTGGGGGCATAAAATCTGGTTAGGAATAGAAGAAAACCATTCTTACAAAAATAGTTTCTTATGTTGAAAGCAAATAAGCCAAACTTAGTTTTTAACCTATTTTTTTTCTGTAGATAGTCTATAAAAATTGCAAAGCACAAGGCAAGCTTAAGATAGTTAAATTGGGATAATTGGAATAATAAATAATAGTTTCAAGATAGTGAAATGTGGGTTACAAATATTTGCAGATAACACTTTCAAATTTTGTGAACAATCTCCAGTTTATCTTTGTTGGAAGGCATGTCTCACAATGCAGTGGTGTTAAACCCATCTTTATGTGCCATGTGTAAGCAAGTGACTTAGGTCCAGTTTATTCTTGAATCCATTTTCTTCTATCAGTTGAATGATATTCTCTACCATTAGCCAGTGTCAGGCTTAGAAACTTGTGCATTACACCTTCTTCTGATATTATCTAGTTGCTTAGCACCTCCACTTGCCTTGAGGACAGAAGAAAAGAGTTAAAGATCACTGTGAAGTTCTTCATTCCTGTGAAATTCATGAGAACAGCAGCAGGAGATCCAGTACCTTTCTTTCTTGAAATTATAAATCAGGTGTTTCTACGCATCTCCCTAGAACTCAGTGGAGGTTAGAATTTGGATGCTGACAAAATATAAAATCATTACAAAACCTGTTTCTGTCCCCTAAAGAGAAATACAACTTCATTTTCCAAACATGACTAATGTAAAGCTTGCCTTTTAGATAAATTATTTAGATTAATTATCCAGTTGCAATACTTTGACAAGCACATGTTAAGGGAAGCATATAAAAACCTTGCTTGAAAATAATATGTTTACTTTAATGATGCTGGTCTTATGAACTATTTTGTAATTTATTTTTCACCCAATAGATTTCTATGGAAAGGTTCCATGTGAGACAAATAGGTAGCTTCACCATTCCAGAAGTTTAACAGATTTTCAGTGTAGGAATTTGCAGTGATTTATTATTTTATTATTTTTTTCTTTTGGTTTTTGTTCTTCTGTTGTGAGTCTGGGACTCTAACTTAGTTTCTGATGCTTTGATTATTGGCCAGCACTCTACCAACTGAGCCATAGCTCCAACCCTGCAGTGATTTGTTCTGAAGTTCCTTATTTTCCAATTTTTACATTGCTGAAATTCTATATATTTACTTTTGTTACAATTATAGTTATCAATATTCTTGTTCTTTACTGTCATTTATTATAGGGTATCTATAAGTATTGGTTCTTTTAGTTTGCTTTCTCTTACTAATTACTAATGTTATCATGTCTCTAGCTTCAGTCAAAATAACTTTAGCTTCTTATTATTTTAATGATATTAACATTATATTTCTGACAAAAAATTTTTTTACCAAAAAATCTTCACTCATTCTTTAGATAGTTTAATGAAACTGTCATTGCTACAGATGCTATTATATTTCACTTAATTTTATTCAGAATTAAATTGGGTTCCAGTAGTACCAACTACGCTAATATTGGCTTAAACATAGCAGTTCATTTTTATCATGACCACTAATACACAGGTATGTTTATGCACATGCACATGTACCATATCCATATTTTGCCTGTTAGTGATTTAAAAATATTAAATGGAAAATTGAGGATATTTTTTATACTTTCCTTTTTCACCTTAATGTAAGGTTAGACAGGTTTGAATCTCTTAATTCTTCCACCCCTTCCAAAACCCCAGAATCACTCTCATTGTAAACTAATTTTCTTGGCCTTTGTCATTACCCAGTTTCTGTTTATCTTTCACAGGTATAGCAATATGACCTTTCTCATTTCCTTATTTAAAGGTTGTAACTATGGCTTATAAGCTTTTAACCACTCTCTTTCACCTGAGGGCAAAATCCACATTCCTTGACTTGGCATACAAATCCTTCATGGCCATGTCACTTTTGGCTTCATCTTCTAGCATTTTTCTGATTAAATTAAGCTGCTGGCTATTCACCAGCAACTAAGCTTGAAACCTAGGATGAGAGAGCTGAATTCACATGTACTGAATGAATGGATAATGAAGACTTCTCTGTCTTGTTCCCTCCATATGTCATGTTATAACATAATTCTTCCTGTAACATCAGAGAGGGCAAGAAGTGTCTCCTCTTGATAAGTCATGTTTCAATCCCAAATGATATCAGTAGCAGTTAAGTCCTCTTTAACATTGGGTTAAAACTTATATTTACGCTGGGCACTGGTGGCTCACACATGTAATCCTAACTTCTCAGGAGGCTGAGATCTGAGGAACATGGTTAAAAGCCAGCCCGGGCAGAAAAGTCCATGAGACTGTGATCTCAAATAAACCACTAGAAAACCAGAAGTGGTGCTGTGGCTCAAGCGGTAGAGCACTCACCTTGAGCTGAAGAGTGCAGGGACGGTGGCCAGGCCCAGAGTTCAAGCCCCACAACTGACAAAAGTAAAAGAATAAACTTATTTTTGAATGAGTGGGATCAGTGCACCTACATGGTAGCACAGAAATAGCCAGTCCTACTTTCTATGCTAATGGATCATTTATATTATTAGCATTTGGAAAACCCATGAAAATATACTAATCCTACTACCTGCTTACTGTCAGAAACAGAAGCATTGTATCAAATATATACTTTAAATAGCTGTACTGAGCATCGCCAGAATTCAATAGAATAACTTGAAATCACGCACCCAATGTATACATTTGTGTTCTATTTTTGGGTTCATATTTTGCTGTTAATAAATTTTGATCACTGGATCATTAGATGGAACTTGTTCTAGATTTCAAGGATTATTTATACACTACATTCAAAACCTTCCCTGAGAAAAATGCTATTTTATAACTTGTAAGTTTAGAGTCTCAGAATACAGGTAGTTGAATATCTGCCAGCTTGTGGTTTGAAGAAAAATTGACAGCTATTATCTAATGTTCTGTGGAACATTTCATTTCTTTCTTTTTTGTAGGTCGTGGGGCTTGAACTCTGGGCTTGGGAACTGTCCCTCAGCTCTTCAACTCAAGGCTAACACTCTACCACTTGAGCCATAGCCCTACTTCCGGTTTTCTGCAGGCTTATTGGAGATAAGAGTCTCAGAGACTTCCCTGCTCAGGCTGGCTTTGAACCATGATTCTCAGATCTCAGCCTCTGAGTAGCTAGGATTATAGGCATGAGCCACTAGCTCCCGGCTTTCAATTCTTTTTGATTGCCCCTGATAATTGACTTAAAAAAAAATAAAGAATCATTGAACTTGAAATTTAAACATTTGTTCTACAAATGTGGCTTGTGATTTAGTCATGAAAATCAGTCTATTAAAATTTTGTCCTACATTGGTACTATCAATGTGTTATTTTAAATTATTTTTCTTCAGTTTTTCTGATATGTATTTACATACATACATATGTGTGTGCATAAGTGTGTGCATGTGTGTGTGTTTGTGTTTGTATGAATGAGACTTTTTGTGTCACTATATGGATGGCTCTAAATTAGGGAGCTGGAAACTGAAGTCCTAATGTCTAAATATGACCAGATGGCCAGATAAATTTTGTCAACTCCCTATGGGTCTCATCTTTTTTTGACTTGATTTAGTTCTTTTTCTACTTCACTAAGTAGATATACGTGCTAATAAAATTGAAGTGGCAATTTTCCCAGTATTACACCATTATCAATAAAGAAAAAAGTTGCAATAGGAAGAAATTATAACTGTTTAGGAAAATATTAAATACCCTTTTTTATGTTTCTTTTAGATAGTAGGACTCATGCACTCAGAAATGTATTTTCCTGCTACTGTATGTAGAGGAGTAATAGAATATAATTTAACAGCCAGATGTATATTAACAAAATAATAAAATATGTGTATATATATACGTATATTTATATATGAAATATAAGAGTCATAAAAATGAGTAAGTAGCTCAAACATTTAGGAGATCATTGGAGAAGACTTCAGACTATAATATACGGCAGTACTTAGTTCCCAATAATTAATAATAGCAATATTTATATATAAGAAAACAAATAGTCATCTCTGCATAGCTCCTACATATATTGTTAAGATATTCATGAATATATTGGGTCCCTGTGCAATAAGAAATTAGATCAAAATATTTATAACATGTGAGAGTATAATTTTTTAGCATTTTTGTGGAATATTAATGTTTACTGCTTTGTAATGGTTTTCATCAGTTTTATGCTTTAGTTTTCCCTCTCTGAGCAGCTATAATAGATTGATTTAGCCATTTCAAAACATCAAATGCAGTGTTCTAATATCTTGTGACAGGGTTCCCCTGATTTGGCTCAAAATTTAGTGAAAAGGGTAAAATTAAAATTTTTCCCCACAAGTTTGCATGGTCTTATTTATTGAAAACCCATAGTTTCTCCTGTCCTTAAAAACATTTCATTTTATTCAGTTGTATGACATGAACAAGACCATATCACACACAGTCAACAGATGTAGATTTAGGACCTATATACTAAAAATAAACCATATGTTTCCTTTAGTTTTTCTTTGATTTACTAAAAGCATGAACATCTATCTCTTTCTATTTCTTTGTCACCCCCCCTTCCCAAGAACGACCCACATTTCTCAGGAGGCCAATTAACCAGGTGGTATTGGAGGAAGAAGCTGTAGAGTTTCGGTGCCAAGTTCAAGGAGATCCTCAACCAGCTGTGAGGTGGAAAAAAGATGATGCAGACTTGCCAAGAGGAAGGTAAGACCATTGTGGGATAGAAAATTGTTGAATGACCAATGAATGATTGACAAAGAAAAAGACACGGTTCTGCCACCAGATACATACATACATACATACATATATATATATATATATATATAGTTTTGTCTCCAGATATGTGACTTATATGTGCACTCTACATATTGGCTCTGTGCACATTAAAATCTTTTGATGACTTTCTTTTCAATGACTATGAACACTAAGGCCTGACCCTTCACTCTGTTACTCCCAAGTGCCAAGAATTCCTGAAGTGCTTGCTTTTCACATGGTTTATTGTAGGTTGATTGTTCTTACTACTGAATTCTAGACAATCCATCCCATTCCCTCGATCAATGATAGACCTGTTTCCATGTATTTCACTCACATGGAAGCCATCTGCCTTCCTTTAATTCCCAAAGCATCTTTATCAAAGGGCTGACCCTTATGAGTAATAACAAGGAAAAGGCAGAAAGTAGATGACATCACTGTCCATTCAGGGGATTTCCCTTTCAGGACCTCTGGGCATTTTCTCTTCCCATTTCTTCCTTGCAACATACATTTAATCACTTACTCACTCTTGCCAAATGGTAAACTCAATCTTTCAACTATCTACAGTATCCCCAACCTGCATATTCTATTCCCTTACCATATTTTGAAATTTTTTTTGTTCTTTAAATTTTCCTAAAATTTTGATGTATAGAATTGAATAAGTTATCAGTTCCCACACAAAGGACAGTATGTTTTAATGATTTATTTGCTTTTTTTTCCATTCATGCCTACTGATACTACATTTATCATACCTACCATAACCATTATATAAAAGTGTATAACTTGCATTTTTATTTTTGTCTTCTATTTTCTCATTCTAAAAAAATTGGATTTCAATAAACTGATTGAATTAAATACACTTGCACACAAGCCAGAGGCCTTTGTGTGTGCATTTACCAGCAACATTGTGGATATTTTGCTCAACTCGTGTACTCATTTTAAAATCCAAATTCTATACACCTTAGGTCTGAGGTACTATACTTTGTTTCTAAAGGCATACAATCAATGACACTGAATTAAAATTTTAACTATTTAGTGAGAATTTCCTTATAATCTACCGGTATAAGGGAAATTTTCAGTTAATTTTTTGGTTTTAAAAGCAAAGAAACTCGCCCCTGGTTTTGATTGGTTTTTGAATGTTTGTTTGTTTATTTTGTTCAGTTACTTGGATTTAGTTACTTTGCTGCCAGACATTTGCCTATAAAATCAGGAGAGGCTAGTGAATATGAGGCTCCTTATGTTTGCTCAGTGGAGAAGCAGCTCAAGAACCAAGGAAATTCTTGCAGAATTGAGTTGTTGACATCTATTCTTATGTATAACAAAAACCTTATTCAAATTTGAGAGCACATAACTAGTGACTCTTTAGTGTTGACATGTGAGTATCTATATTATAATAGAATACAGTGAAGCATAGACAACAATTACTCTTTAAATACTGAGTGCATGTATCTTTGTTCACTCTTTTTTAAAAGGTTACTTTCGGAAAAATACTTGACTTAAAGCGAGCACACATAGTTCCTGTACACTTTGAACCCATTTCACTTACGGCCAATGTCTATGAAACATTATCTCCTCTAATGAACAGATGTTCAGACATGATAATTAAATGCAATATAAACATTTTTTGGATTTCCCCACTCTGATTAATATCCTTTTTCTGCTCCAACATTCAGTCCAAGGTATTTACTTAAAAGAATATCATATTTAGTTCTGTTTTCCAAATTTCTGTGGACTATGACACAATCTTAGTGTTTTCTAGTTTTCATGACCTTGAAAATATTGACAGGATGCATTGGGTCGACATGTTGTAATGTGTCCCCTAAACCTGGGTTTGCTTTTTTTTTTGTGTGTGTAATTAGACTGGATTTATGGCTTTTAGAAAGAATGTCACAAAACTCAGGTATTTTCCTTATCTTCTTTGTACTTGATATCCAAAGAAATTTACTGTTGGCCAATCCAATAATAATTGTTAAATAATAAACTCAAATAGAGGAAAAATTAAAAAGTAAAGAGTTATAAAACTAATTTAATATATCTGTGTTTTTGGACAAAGATAAAATGATAGCTAATTAAGCCTAGATTGATTTTTCCCCTATTTACTGTTTTTGTGAAGGCAAAAACCTGACAGCTTTAGCTATTACACTGTTCTATGTCAAATTCACTTGTTTCATTAGCTAAAACACACATACACATCAAACAATAGCATACAAGTTAGATATTCAAAATGTGTGATATTAAGCTCTTGCAACACAGAATTTAAATTTTGAGGAACTCTCATCTCTCCTAACTTCCTTTACAACATTTTCATAATGCTGTCTTCTGTTCTACTAATGGCATAGTGCTTGTTTGAGTAGCTAATATTTTTAATGTGTTAGTCAAATAGAAGTGCTTTGTAAGCTTTAAATTGTTGTGTTAGAAAGGCTTAGAGCATGAATCAGCGCCCTGCAGAAATTGAGGTCAGTATTTGTATCATGATATTTCCAAGGAGATTATTCATTCTTAGGTTTGCATGTATTAGCATAAGCTTCCTTTATGCGTAATGATGGGGAAAGAGGCCTCTTTACTTGCTGAGGAATAAGAGGAGTTTTAGCTAACCACCCACTAAATCCACAACATTGATTCTGATACATTATTTAGGTCTGGGATGAGGGAGATAGCCATTGTTCTTTCATAAGCAGTTGGTGTGGAGGATGACATATTTTTGGCTTACTGCTTAATGAAATTCGAATAAGGTCTGTGTAGTGGTTCATACTTAACACATTTAGAGTAAAGCTTTGTAGGGCAGCTGCATAGCCTGTAATTACTATGTAAGTAATATGTGACTATTTTTTTTAGAGCCAAGAAAAGCTTTTCAACTCAAGTTTAAATTTATGAAATGCTGTGATAGCTATTTAAACCTTCAGCACAGAATAGGATATCTATGCCAAACTTTCAGTAACCAGAGATAAATTTAGGGTAGCATTATTTTCCCTGCAGTGAAAAATACATTTTACAGGAATATACATGCATCTCTTTCTTTTATTTAGTCATAAACTCCTGAATTTTCTCAGTAGCTGACATTAATTGTGAGAGAGGTAGATTAAAAACTTTTGTTACATTAGAATGTTTTGATTATTTAGGAGCATAGAAGCATCTTTAAAAATAATTCTTTGCTCAACTAGACAAAAGCTGTTTTGTGTGTTCATTTTCTGTATGAAAAATGAACAATATTAAATAGAAAATGAGGCATGGGTAACAATGTTTGATAAAAAATATACTCATTACCTTACTCTTGTAATTGTAACCCCTCTATAATTACCCTTAGAATAAAATTTTTAAAAATTACACTATATGGATTCTTATCAAAATATTAATTTAGTAATTTCTCAATTAGTACTTGTAATTGTATGCATCAGAATAAAAAAGTTACTGAAACTTACTGACCATGAAAATGATCATTTTGTGTTAATCAGGAAGATTAATGAGTTGAAATAAATCAACATTATTTTATTTTTCAAGGAAAAGAATTTTATACACCAATATGAAGATAATAGAAGGAAAGTGAGCAAAAGAGAAAAGGCACTTCATAGTTAAACAATGATTAAGATATTGAAACACACAACTTTTAAAAACAAGTTAAATTGTGAAAGTTTGGCCCACATGTATCAGTTGGCTCTAGTTTGTGATGGCAAAGTCATTTATGCAAAGTAAAAGTATTATTTTTCATTCTTTTTTTTTGTTGTTTTTGGTCGGTCGTGGGGCTTGAACTCTGGGCCTGGGTTATTTTTCATTCTTATATCTAAAAAATATAAGAATGAAAAATAATACAGGCAGTATGGAAAATTATTTGTATGTTAAAAACATTAGAAAAACAAATAAACAGAGGTAGAATTAGCTAGTTCCTTGAGTGCTTCATCTTTCTTTCTCAGGGTTCCTAGATTATTAAGCTCACTATCACTCCTTATGATCAAGGAATTATCAGTGTAACTTTTCAGTAGGTATTTTACCTGATAGAAGCTGTCAGTATTTATAATAAACAATGCCTTGTTCTAATTTACACATCTTTCTACCTTAAGGTAAAAAATATAATATATCTTGTTAAACCAGAAATATATATGTACCAAAGCCCCATAAAAATATATTAACACAAGAAACAACAACAAATGTACTAACAAAGAAATAAGGATAGCAACTTTATAATATTTTGTGCTATCAGTACAGAAGAGAATTTTAGAAACCTCTTTTAGAATTTGAGTAAGGAGTGATTAGAAGAATTACCAATTATAATTTCCTTTACTTGTGTGTGTGTGTGTGTGTGTGTGTGTGTGTGTGTGTGTGTGTGTGCTTGCGCTCCTGTGCCTGTATCAGGACTTGAACTCAGGGCCTCAGCACTGTCCCTGAGGTTTTTCACTCAAGGTTGGTGCTCTTCTACCTGAGCCCCAGCTCAACTTCTGACATTTTGGTGATTAACTGGAAATGAGAGTCTTATAACTTTCCTGCCCAGTCTATCTTTGAACTGTGATCCTCAGCCTATTGAGTAGTTAGGATTACAGGCTCAGCTACTGGCAACTGGACTTTTGTGCCTGTGTGCTATAATTAGGTCTTGAATTCAGCCCTCATGGTAAGCTCTTTTGCCTGCATCTGACATTGTATAATTTGAGCCGTGCCTCTAGTCTTGCTTTTTGTTGGTTACTTTGGAGCTGGAGACTCAAAGACTTTTCTATTTGGGCTGGCTTTGAAACATGATCTTGGAGATCTCAGCTTCCCCAGTAGCTAGGATTATAAGCATGAGCTACTGACACCCAGCTTAATTTTGATTCTTATTTGAACGTATCAGCACAGTCTGTATTTCAGTTAATGATTGCAGTCTTTAAAGAACTGTTACTTGGAGATCTTATATCTCTCATCAATCATATAGTTTTCCACATGTCACCATTAGTTAGTGCCACAGTTTCTTTTATTCCATTTTTACT